AGCTCTCATTGGGTCGATTCAAATGCAATCCAATTCTACAAAGCACAACAAACTGACTTAGGCCTAGCTCTGACACTAGCACAAACATACGCCCACGACAAAGGCAACGGCAGGGTTTCCTTGGTCTACTTTTGGGGTTCAACTCGAAGAGTATGATTTTACCATCTTGTTAAAACCAAATTCCAGCTGCTAAGTGCCAGAAATAACCCGGCATTCTAGCCTTTTTACTTCGACAAAAGCCTCCTATCTGGCGGTTTGCTGTCGTGCCAGCGTATTTTAAGTTGTGCAAAAGAATTTAAGGTTGATCTAACCAACACAACAAACACTGCCACGATGCTGTTGCATCTATCTACCAACCAAACGCTGCAAGTAGTATCGATTTTCTGTACTATATCTTAGTCTCTTAGTAGCTGTCATTCAGTGACACACATGAAAGCTACGTGGCCCTTTTGATTGGTACAAGTGGTGCCAACTGACCGTGGACTGGGCACTGTAAGTTGTGGTGGTCGCGACTGCCGAGGCAAAGTAGTCGTTGTCGTACATCAAGGCAGCCCTGGTGTTCACGCCTCCCTCTGCGAACAGCGAGCGCGCTGATTGGTGGAGGGGGAGACTGGCGACGCCAGAGACGGTTGTGACGCCCGCGGGAGACGTGGACGAAGCAGTCTGTTCGAAGACGTCGGCGCCCTTCGGGGTGGTGAGCAGCTCGGCGTTCCTCGTCAAGAGGGCCATGTTGCTGAATTTGACGGCTTCCGGGTACGGGTCAACCTGCTTCTAACCAATCCAATCAAAAAGGGCGGGTCAAGCTGTACTTTGTGCCAAGTCATTTAGTAACTTTTGTTACCACCCCATTACCACATTCAAGCAACTGCTCCAAATCGTAAACAAATTCACACCCTTTAAGTTTATGGACAACCAGAATCAAACGTCTAGTACACAATCAGAATTGACCTCCAGGACCACAATGCGTCACTGACGTGGCTCGCACCAATGGCAATTGAAGTTTATTCAGAAATGGAGAACTTCAGTTATGCATTCCGCTCCAGCTTACAGTAAACAGACCTTGCTAGAAGGAATCAAATCATGATGGGGCGGCACTAGCCATGGCATCCTGTCTTCACATTAAATCGGTATTTTTGTAAGAAAACCCCATTAAATCGATGACAACTTGAAGTCAACGCACAGTAGTCGGGTAAAATTCTAATTTTACACCGAAACGTCATGAGATAATGAAAGTTCGCTTAGATTTGGTAACTACCAGGTTTGGTGCAAACGATGCAATCTACCTCGTGGTGGCCATTTTCGCGACTCCTAGCAGAAAATCGAGGTCGCTTGGGCCAGGGCCGACCAGCACCCTGTCCACCCGCTTCCTCAGTCGTCTCCTCGGTAACCGCCAGAGGGCTCTCCTCCGTCTCGCTGCTCTGTTCCCCCTCGTCCCCCTCGTCAGAGCTGGCGGAACTCGCAGCGCTACTGGTGCTGTTTTGCGGAGCCATTAGTGCCGTGGCGTCAGTCAGTTTGTTGGGTCTGTAGAGGACTTCCTCGTCATTTTTGCAGGCAGCGGGAGCAAGTGGAAGGAGGCCGAACGATCCGGACGATTCAATCGAGTAGTGAGGCTGCTGCTGCTGTTGCTGCTGCTGCAGTTGTGGTGAAAACAGGGAGTGGTGCACGGTGGTGGAGTTGGTGGCAGTTCGACTCGGCATCGAATAGAGCGCTTCTGCGAGGTCTGCAGCGCGCTTCAGGATGATCTCACGAGGAAGACGGTCTGGATCGCCTGGGTGGCGCGGTATGATTTTCCGCAAACGTTGAAAACCATATTCGATCGTGGGATCACTCAGGGCTAGACGAACAGAAGTTATTTTAACTAGAACTCTAAGATGACATCTAGAAATGTGAAGCCCTTGACTCTGGTAACTCTTTTCTTACACAAACACGCAAAAGGCAGTTCGATTTGTATAACCAGATGAGCTGAGGGGATTCTGGTGGAATTTATGGCTCTCAGAGGCCCAACGTTGTCATCGCGCTATCCACTTCAAAACGTTCCTGGTTTGCTTTCTCATTTTGCGTGGACGCAGAGACAAGACGACCAGATTACCACAATGATTTGTGACGTCTTGTCCCTTGATTGCAACTCTGCTGTCATGCCCCATCGCTGTTCGCACCAACAACTCAACTCATCGATCTCAGATGGCCCAGAGGTGTGTAAGTGGGCATATCTGAGCACCCACTAGATTTCCGCTTTTAACTCCATCCTGTACTCGACCCACTGGCTCACTCAACAAAGCCCTCCGTACAAGGAGCTTCCAAATATTAGTTCAAAGGATTTGCATCAGCACACCGGGGAAAACACAGCAGCTTGTTTCGCAACCTTCTTGAAGTGTTAACTTCGTTCTTCCATCCACATCACAGAAAATTTGCATCAAATTCCTGCTATTTTAACTTTCATTTCACCAAAATTTCAGAAGGCAATTTGTCCAATGCAGTGACTGATAAATCTTTCGCCAAGGTTAACTTTTCATTAGGGGACCACAGCGAATTTAGAAGATAAATGACCAATTAGGTGATTAGGACTCAAGTACAACAAGTACTAGGTTTTGCGTCAATACTCACATGTAAACGCGAATCGACCAGGTGCTTGCTTGCAAAACGGTCGATTGTTGTAGAGAAGGGACACATCAACCATGCCCTGCGTGGACCTTGCCGGCGTCTGTACACGAAGAGCATTCGGCGTGATTAGCTGTCAACGCGTAAATACGTCGTGTTAGCCAACATCTGACGCCAAAAGAGGGCTGATACGGCCATGGAAGAGTAGCTTACCTCACTCCAGACTGGTGTGTTCCCGAAGACCACCTGCAGACCGTGGAAGAAGTTCTCCCCGATAATCAGAACACTCTCACCTCCGCTGGTCCAGCCCTCATTGGGTGAAATCGCTTTGATAACCGGGGGTGCGGTAAGCACGACTGCAAGGCAACAAGCGGGCTCTAAGACTCACAGTTGGCGACATGATTGAAAAGACCCCTCGAATGCCCTTTCTTGATCGCTATTAGTTGATCCCTTTTTGTCCTGTCCAGTCCCGCTAATGCCGTCAACAAATTGATTGGCCTTATTTTATTTCTGCGCCTCAAACTCTCGTGGGATTTGGGTAGAACAAGAAAGGGCAGTAGTTTATAGCAATCTGATTGCAGGAAAGGTTTATGCGAAAGGTATCGAGGTAATACAACTCCCCTTTCATGCGTCAGTCGTGCTACGGAACACTGAACGACAAGTCTACGTACCTGAGTTACATGGCCTCTCAGAAAAAACAAAGTTTGCGACGATGGCAACAGCTATCAACAAGGAATAAGTGTTTCTAAAGCACGAGGGGAATTAATTTAAAGTGTTCTCGGTGCGGCCAACATTGTTTTAGAAGTGGTGATTTCGATCTTAGTGACCAACCGCGCCCCGGACAGCAGCCTCGATAGTTCGAAGATGCGCAATTGCAAGCTCTACTGGATGAATACCTACCATAAACGTAGATCTTTCCTAGTTGTAAAAGAATCCTTTATGCAATAAGTTGCGCAAATTTCCTCAGCCACCTCGAATACTAGTTAAATTGTCTGAGTCATTCTCGATATTGGCGTGCCTTTAATGGCGGAGATGGCAGTTGCTTCCACACGACTAAACTCGAAATTAATTGCGAACGATTTTATTGCAAGATTCTCAAGAACCAGTTTTTAAATCGACCAATTTTGATATGCCACCCAACTTGCCTCTTTTTCTGAACTCGCCTCTGTTAATGCGGCTTAGTCTGGCGGTGCTTTTAAAATTGGTGAGGAGCCATATTGGCAGGCATTGTAAGTTGTTTCGGAATTTTTTTGGGTCTTATCAGCACGCCTTTCAGAGGACTTGAACCTGCACATCCTCCATTAACATCAACCGCCTCAAAAACCTGGATTTGCAGAGTATGATTAGGTAATTTGAAAAGAGGAAAATTCAATGGTATTCTGGGAAAAAGTAGGCTCCACACCAACGACTCTTTTATTACCAGGGGCAACAAGGAAGCAAGTTAATGTTGGACTAGAGCCTTAGGGGGAAGGAGGAGCAACTAATTCACCCACACGCTGGTGGTGGCGGTGGTGGTGGTCGGACCCACTGTGTCAACGACGGATGTGATGACGCCGGGGCTAATTGAATTTTGACACATCTCTAAGGCACGGAGCCACATCATGCCCCGAGGTCAGTGATCGCCGCAGGTTGCCCTTGGAGACACTGAAACCTCTAACACGAAGCCTTACCCCTTTCTCAGAAGAAAAAAACCCAACTTTTTTCCCGAAAATATTTCGGTCGTGCATTAATGACGCTCCAGGCGTCTTGGATGCTCTCACAAACAGTTCCAGGCGCTACCTCAAAGTGGGTAGTCGTCGTCGTCGTTGGCAGTGTGGAACTATTCAGCAGTTCAAATGAGGCGTTCCTCGGTGCGCATGCTACCACTTCAGTGATTTGACGAAAAGGGCCTCATCAGGCTTGTTAAATCAACTTTAAAGTTGTCCCACGAACTTACGCTCTTCGGGCGGTTCCAGTCGACGAACTCTTCGGCCGTGCTTTGAATTGTTGTGGACGAACATGTTGTCCGAAAAAGCCAGCAGGCTACCTTCAAGTGAAGGTGTCGAAGCGATGGCTACCTACAACATGCAAGACAACAGTTTCGGTTCTGCAAATCGCCCTCGATCTTAAGATTTTATCATGTTGCTTAAATCTTAGGTATTAGTCGTGAAACATTCGGTTTACAGTAGCTTACTTGAAATCTTCGCATGTCTCTTGGATTGCCGGCATTTTTCAAGCAATTTTGATTGCATTTCATGAAGAACTTGAGGAAAAATCTGCAACGGAAACCAACTTGATGGTTTACTTAATTCCCTTTAATAACCGCTCCTAATTTAATAGCCACTGACTCCCACCTACTTGTTACTAGGGTTACAAGATACTGGGAACACAGAGGAGGTTAATTTATTACTAGAGAAATTTGAGCAGTAAAAATGACCCCCTTAGTCAATAAACTAACGCCTCGTGGCCTGCTTATTCTCGGTTAATTGGAAACATTCAATTACGCAACTAAGCTACTGACTTGTTGTCCCACGTGTGTTATTGCTTCTAACAGCAATAACGACTACTGCACCATCTGATCTAATTCTGCATCCTAAAAGAAGTTGTTTTAAGTGGTTTGAGTACTGGAGCTTAATTTTAACTACAAGACCTAGAGGTATTCCATACATCATGATGCCGTCGGTACACGCTGTGAAGGGGAGTCGAACCACATGGCTAACACTAATTATCCGATTAAGCTTCGTTACACAGACGATGCCGCCTGGGGACACCAATTTTGCTGCTGTGGGAGGAGGAAGGCGAGATGGGAGGGGGGGTGGGATTGGGACATCGCACTCACCACCCTCCCTTCCCTCCCCCCCAGTAACCCTCTCAGCGGGACACCGGTTGAAACCACAGGCATCTGTCACCGGTTATCGCGAGTGGGACACGTTCCGACGGAGCATTCTGTAACAATTGCTCTAGAAGCCAACTTCGACAACCCAGACAAAGCACTTAAACTCTGAAATTGTTTGGCACTTTGAATTTGGTGGATGATTGTAATGCAAGTAAAGCGCATCGTTAATAAGACCGCATTGTCCACAGCTGAGATTGTTGGTCGGGCATCTTAATTGCGGCATGATGCTCGCCTACCTGTCAATGATGACCGGATCCGAGGGGGTTTCGTTGCGGTTACCGCAGCTCTTCTTGTCACAACACCGGCTGCACATCACCTCGTGAGTAAGCAGCACACGGCACATCTCGGGATTCTTATCCTGGCCTTCGTATGTGATTGGCTAAAGGACAGAATTTGAAAATTCAGCCAATGATTTTGTTAGTCCAATCTTCCACGTCAATAATCTTCAGGATTTGCAATTTCAGGATAGGCACGGTATCATTTAGGCACCATAGTTTCCTGATGGTCGTCAGACATTTCTAACAAGCGACTTTTTTTTATGGAAATACTACTGCGAGATGCTAGGTAATATGTTTCACCAAGAGCTAAGCTGTGAGTGGTATAAATTACTCCAATCTCAATGCGATTAGGGCATCCTGATGGAATAATAAGCCCAATTAGTGCGTACATCCACGCAAACTCACCTGCTTGTTGGCAGAGTCCACCAATCGAACGTAGAGATCCTGATCTTGCTGGAAGCCTTTCAAGTCAGAGAAAGTAGAAGTTAAGATATAAAAAAACCCACACCAACACACCCCAGTCGTAATTTAAGCTCCACCGGTATCAAAGAGGATTTCACATTTGCCTAGTTGAAAGTAAACTTGTTTAGCGCAAAGCAATTAGCTTCTCGTCCAGATGAACGCGTTCAGGGGTGGTGGAAGAGCTGGAGGTAACTGGTGCGTGAGAGTCTGGACTAGCTAATGCCTTCTTAGACGGGTAGCAGCTAGCGCGGTTATGGAAGATTGTCGTGGCTTGGGCACTGGTCTTTTGCATTTGATTGGCTTACCAAAGGTCACTTACCGTTGGAGAAGACCAATCGCAGTCGATAGTGTATTCCGTTGTTAGTCTTTTCGGTGCCTGGTTCCTGGAGGGATTGCAGTTAAACAAATCAATCGATTAGTATTAGCATCATCATCATGACCCTTAACCAGTCAAATTCCGCTACTGTCAAAATTGCGCATTTTCAGCCACAGTTACTATCCTTCATTCGTGTCTCTCTTTTTTGAAAAACCCGCAAAATTCGAATACCCAGTTTAGAAAAACAAAAAAAGATGACTATTAAAAGACGAATAAGGATTATGGCGTTACTAGGGACAAGGCGAAATCGACGAAGATTACCTAGCTGCCATTTTACAGGTAAACAATTTCCCCTGGATTACTTAAATGACTGATGGAAGACGGTACCGAGAAAGACGTCAAAGTAGAGGTGGCACATGCTAGTCTTCCACAAAACCCTTTCGTAGCTGTCATGTTAGCACGCTACTTAAAAAAAAACCGGCGCCATTCACAAAACTGGTTAAACATTAACCACTCACAATGCCCCAATCACAAAAGAACTCCACGTCTCTTGGGGACGAGAAGTTGGCGTTTATTTTGCCCTGCGCGACATTCTCTTGTTTGAATAATTCACATTTAATGAACTCTCAATTCCCCGCGGGGTTCACACGGTGCCATGTGTGGGGGTGGGGGGGGGATGGGAGACAGAATGGTAGTCGCCCAACCTGACTGTCGTGTGTCCACAAAAAGTGGTCGCTTTGCTGGTGAGACGGTAGTTCATTAAAGTCTGTCTCACCCCCCGCCTCCTGCCGCGACCCAATTAGCGCGGGGTTGAGAGAGAGTGAGAGGGAATGCGAGTTGTGTCTGCAACGCACTCACACACACACACGTGCAGATTGAATGTGCGCGCAAGCTCGCGCGCAAACGCCTCCAATTGGCTCGTTAATAATTCACAGCCAGAGTTACGCACTCGAAGTCAATTTTGGGATAATTTTGCACCATGAAACGGTCGCACAAATTTGTAGTGAAAAATTAATTAATTTAAATTTTCATAATAAATTTGCACTCAAAAATTAGCATCGGTCTTTGGAGCAGAACACCAAATGTGAAAATGCACATTTTCCAGCGACAAAAGCCCATTTATTTTATTTTCGTAACCTCACAAACTCTTGATATTCCAGGTTATATGTTGCCACTGTGTATGCTTTCATGGATAACAGGCAGAAATACTTGTTTGTTCGAGATTAGCAAGCATGTCAAGGTCATTTACCAGTGCATTTAAACAAATGCGTAAAATTACCCGTTCCTTCTCCACAAAGTCTATGAAGGCAGCTCTCTCAACTTCGATGGGATGACGATTGCGGTCGTAGATGGCGAGAACGAAGTGGAAGAAGTTGCTTTTACGCAGGTTATTTGGGGGCTGTTTTTCGAACCGCGCCGACTGAACTTCCATGTGGGGTCCACGCGCGGAGCACCTGAAGTGGAACCTGGGGTCACCTTCTCTCAACCTGATTGGTGTTTTTTTGGTTCAGGAGCCAGCATGTGATGATCACGACTTACAAGGGAAGGTTGTTCACACAAACACACACACACACACCCTTTTAACAGGTGGTAACAGGGCAGGCAGGTGAATTCCCCCTCCCCGTCCAAAAATGTCTTTTTTTCCTGGCAAAATTTTGTCAAAAATTTCAGACACTTAGTGTTGTTCTACTTATTTATTTGGAAAACGACGTCGTGGTTCCAGGCGGTTCTGAATCCAGTAAAATCGAATGAGCAAGGCTGTTTTTCATGTTGACGTTTAACTGGTCTTACGGGGAGTAATGATAACTGACCAAAGGCTAATGGATCAAAGAATTTATTGATCTTTCTAAGAGACTTCGAGGTGTCTCCGCAAATCCTCAATTTTTTATGCGCAAACCTCAAATGCAAATAATCGACTGAGAGTAGGAAGCGGGTGTGTTTTATGCTTAACCAATGAAAAATCGACCAATGATATCTGATAGTCGTTGTGACGTTTTCTTCTTGAATCAAATCAGGGCGCGTGTTTAAGGAACAATTTACCTCGGAAAGAGAGTAGAGTAACCAGTCATGGTGGTGGCTGCTGTAGCCGAGTTTTGGAACATCCCGAACCCGGAGGAAGCACCAGGGGTTGTGGGGAGGTGGCCGAAGCCGATACCACCGACGCTGGAGTCGGCGATCCCCCCAAAGTGATGACCCCCGGGATAGGGGTGTCCCATGGCCGGCTGGTAGCCCACGTCGGCCGAGTGGATGTGCGCAGTGTTCCCCTCTGCCTGCTGGTGCTGTGCGATCCACGAACGCACAAAGTTGAACTGACTCGCTGGCGAGGTGAAGAGACCGTCGTCGCCGGCCGACGACGCCGAGTAGCCGCCTTCTTCTGAATGGTTGGCGAACGTGGTGTAGGCACGCGAGCTGGAGCTGCCCAAGTTGGCGCTGCAGTAGGACGTCGATCGGGACGGTGGAGACTGGTCTGTGCTCGGGTTCGGAAAGCTGCTCTCCTCTCCACCCTGATGCTGGTGCTGTTGGTGGACGAACATCTGAATTGGGATTTCAAGGGCACAGTTAGCACGCAAGGTTCAAGAATTCAATGAACTAGGTGTATGACTTAATTTGGTCCGATTATTTTTTCGAGCTTAATGGTTAATTTAATATGGAAATATTTTGGCGATCTTTTGCGTTTTTAAAAAGATCTAACGAGAGGCTCGAGAATACCCAACGACAAGTTTATGTGCCTGAGTAACGTAACCTCTCAGAATAACAGAGTTTACGATGATGGCAACTGATAAACAACATATTCGATGGCTCTGCACTCTATACAAATTCCAAGATGAAGAAAATGCTTCCAAAGCACGGGAGGAATTCATTAGAAGTGTTCTTGGTGCTGCCGAAGTTGTGTCGAGTGAAGCGTGTAATTATTGGTGCGAATGTTTTAGAAGTGGTGATTTCGATCTTGGTGACCAGCCACGCCCCAGACAGCAGCCTCGAAAGTTGGAAGGTATGGAATTGAAAGCTCTACCGGATGAAGACTCAACGCAAACGCAACAAGAGCTGCCAGCACCTCAGTATGGTGTCCCTCAAACAGCTAAAACCATGCTTTTGCACTGCCAAATTGAAAAATGCCACCACGTGGAAGCTGGGTCCCCCCACATGTGGCAAGTGAACGCAACCTCTTGGGCCAATGTATAACCACGTGCCCTTCACTGCTGTGATGAAGGGGTACAATATTTACAAGAACCTCAACCCAGTTGCATATCGACGCCGAAACAGGACATCCACATGGAGAAGAAGTAAAAGGTTCTCCTGTGTATCCGGTGCGGGGACTTAAGGGGTGTACTTTATTGCGAACTGCTGGAAACTGGTCGTCAGACAGTGACTGCTGAACGCCACAGCTGTCACTTGAAGGAACTGTGTGCAGAACTTGACGAGAAAAGGTCATCTACTGATCAAGGAAGTGGGCAAGTCACAGTGCTGCAGTGGACCCTTTTGAACTTGGGCTGGGAAGTTCTCCCTCACACGGCGTCTTCACGAGCCTTGGCCCCCCGTTCGACTGCCACTTGTTGCAGTGGATAAGCAGTTTGTACACCGCTGGAAGATGCGTGTAAATTCGTCGATGGTGACTTGATTGCCTCGAAGCGCACAAAATTCTACCGCAATGGCATTCGTGCGTTGCCTCAGAGGTCTTTGTTTAATATTTGCTTAAAGCATGTTATCGTGTGTGCACTAGAAAGTTCCGAATCTTTTTTCTTTGCAGGGTTTGGTATATCATTCCGTTTTAGTAAATAAGCGGTTGTTTCCGAATACGTTTTTTTTCACGAATGCCGACTATTTCAATGTTCAAGTGTCAACGGAGGATTCAGTCAGTGAACGACAGTGTTTGGTGTTAGCGATCGTTAAGTTGCGTCTTCTGGATATGGAGAAAAGCTTAGAACTTGAACAAAACTCTTGTGAAAATCTTCCATCCGTTTATCAGATTTACCAGAGGCAGAATCGGAAAAGTTTAGATATTGTAATGCAGAATTGAAGAGAAATCAAGCCAATCAACATATTTGTTACAGCTTTGTGGAGAAAATGCTCTGGATGCAAGTTGAACCAGCAGATGGAAGCCTGTGAAGAGATCCAAACCAAGTTAGAACATTCTTTCAAACCAAATTCGCACAGAAAGTTTGTGGCGATAGCGAGGAGACTGGCAATTCCACTGCAGTTTAAATGGGCTTAGGTAACTAGTGAGGTAAAAGAGCAAACAAATAATCTTTACTTTGATGATTTTGTGGAAGAATGGGCTGACATCGCGTGTTCCGCAGTTACGCAAGGCCATTGGTAACATCGGACAATGTCTCCTAGATTCAATTCGTGGCTCCCTATTTTTGATGCCAAATAAATTTGCTGAAAAATCTTCGCCTAGCAGATGTTCCCAACCATTAGGTTAATGGGTTCACCTCGACTGAGCATTAACACGTCGTGAAGTGAAATGTAGCAAAGAAATTTCCACCAACAGATTAGGAGAGCGGGCTGAAATTGCAAACTCACCCCCTTGGCTCGCACTTGGTCCTTTCCCTCGGTAAGTGGTCGGTTAATAAAGTCGATCGTTTTTCCCTTCTCCTCCTCCGCCTTCTCCTCCTTCTCCTCCAAGTTCCTCTTCACTGGTAATCGAAAAACCAGTGAGCACTCCCTAAGGTGTTGGCGTCGCTGAGGCGCTGGCAGTCGTCGTTGCCCAGTGGGTAAAGACTCTCAGAGGAGGCGGGTTTGTGCCGTGGGGCACGCGAAGGAATGTGCGCTATGCTCAGTGGAATTCCGCCTGTTTACGACGGGGCTGTGTTGCTACAGCGGTGCGTGCGTGCGTGTGTGCGTGCACTTGTGCGGTTATGGTCCACCAGGGAGGCACGTGTGTGTGTGTGTCCGCGTGTTGGGACGCGAACGCTCATCAAAAATGGAGGTGGAGGCGGGGTAGGGGAGGTGGGATGGCGTCTGGCCAAATCCCCAGTGGACACTGCCCTGCTCCCAACCCCTCCCCCACCCTCCTACTCCCCTTACGTGCTCAGCTTATTGACCATCAACGCTTGGCTGCTCGCGCGTTCTCACCGAACCACATGATTGGTGGGCACGGCATACGCCTGCGTTCTCATTGGCGCAAGGGGTGTGAGAATGCGTTCCCCTGGGATGCTGCGCTATCTCATTGGCTCTTCTGTCTTTCATTGCCTTTTTGGAGGATTCCGCTGGATACGAGACATGAGCACCGTCAAAATAGTGAATTTCTACAAGGCCAAGCTCAGTTTGTGTAGAATGTATTAGTTCACTGGCACTTGAGCGCGGTAGTTTGGAATGCCCTGCAACTGATCAATCAAAATCACCCAACTCTAAGCCACAAATTTTGTTCTTGGTAAAGACAGTAGAAAACGCCAGTTTCACGGTTATTGCTCCAGCGCCTTACATCGAAGCATGTGACTGCTGCGCCCTCAGCAGTCCTCCTGCCGGAATCGATTAGACGTGCAGTGTGCCACGTGAAATGGCGTCGGACATCTTGGTGTGATGTGGGGCGGATTAAAACAACCATGAATTTCCAGGAAGCTTCTCGCCTTGTCACAACACAGTACATCAAGGACCTCAAGGCCGAAATGGCCAATGTTAAGGCCCTTGACAGCTTGGCCCTTGACCAAGTCGTCACCCTTGAAAATATGAGCGAGTTGATTGAAGAGTCAGTTATCGATGTTTCCAAGTAGGTATTGGTAAAATTTAAGTTTTCAGTAAGGCAAATCAGCCAATGGGAAGGGTGTTTCGTAGTGACGAGCTAACAGACACGTGCCAGCTGAACCATTCGTTCATTTTTTTTAAAATGAACAGGAGAATTAAATAAAAATGGGATTATTTTCAGACTCGAAGCCGACTAGTCCTATGGAAGATATCTGAGGTCTTTAATGCACATTTTTCGGTTTCAGGGAGCTGCTTGACCTGCCACCGCACGACCCCAGCCTCCTCACCCTGAAGGAGTTGCGTGAACTCGTAGCGGATAACAAACTGCAGCAAGGCGAGAGCTCGGTTATTGATACCGACGGAAAAACCGCCGTCTCCTCGGCCAATCGACTACCACCAAACGATCCCTCGGTACGTGGAGCCGATATTGGCTCATAAAATGCCCCAACTAAGCTCATTGGCTGGTAGCTGAGTGAGTTGATTTAAACAAACACGAATATGTGGACATCGGAATTGAATTGTAGAATGTATGTTTTTGAGTAGACTCCGAAAAACCAATTTCTACTTCACAGCACCTTCGCCTTCGCGATTTTTTGCAGCCATCTACAGTTAATTAGACACAGTCTAGGCTTTCTGGCTAGGGTTTTTTGCAGAAAAAGTGTCACTAGGTGAATTCCCTATTTCGTGATCTATTGAATACCTGGTGGCTCGTCCAGTTGGACTGTACTTTCAATTTTCCGTTGTAAATAAAAAAAGAAGATATTTTTTGATTGCACCACGTAAACGCCTTCACATCCAGCGGCAACTTGGCTAAAAACGTATCCCACATCCCAATTCAGCCAAACAACGACGCATAGCTAAGAACGAAGCTAAAGCAGATTAATCGCGCCTAAAAACTTTTCAACATCGTATTACAGTTCTCTGTCTGATGGCAATGAAAATTTAAAAAAAATTAACACTCTGTTTATTGTCATAAAGTTAAAAACATGATTAATCCTAATGAAAAGGTCAGTTTACCATTGCCATGCCACCTAACAATCGATTACTGTCTCTAAATTCGAAGGTTATGCCGCCTGCTTAAATATCCGGTGACCGACATAAAATTACGCGGTTCTATTTTTAAAAAAACAGACACTTCCATTTTTAACAGTACATGTCTACTTAAATGTTTAAAGTAGTACTTTCTTATTGAGTTGCGAAGTAAATCAGACAAAAGTGAAAGAATCAGCATTGTGTGAAAAACCTCCTCTTATGCTTCAAATAAAAGCAATCCTTCTCGGAGGAATAATCAAGATTGAAGTAACTTAAAGACTAAGACCTCGTTGGCAACGTGATCACACTAAATATTCCGTTTGTGCCCAGGATCACCCGGGAAGTAGTTGGTGCGAACAGAGCATCACTTGCAACGACCAGCTGCGCTACCGGGCGCCGTTCTTCTTCTACGGCCAGCGCTTCGAACGACCGTCAAAGAGCCAGGCCGACCAATTGGAGCACTGGCAGGTGGTCGTGCGAGACGAGTGCAACCGCCAGCGTGTGGCTGTGGAGCACCAGTTGGAACTGTGCCACTCATACTGCACACGCCTCCACCACATGCGACCCGACTGTTGGCAAACCGGGCTCACTGATATGGGGCAATCCTACGCCTACAAGTATAAAGATGTATGTGGTTTCTGGTTTGATGCCTTAGTGTAAATTACAGCTACTAAATTGTGATAAGTAGGTAGACTTTTCAACACACGGAGAAGGCCTAGAATAATCCACGTTTCAGCAGAGCCGGTAACTTGATAAATCCAGATTACCGTGTCTGGAATATAGCACTTCTTCTAGATGATGCGGGCACTTCTTGGACGCGGACTCTTCGACAGGGATTCAGCCCGGGAGACGTTAATACGCTACACCATGCCATTTAACCTGTTCGAAATCGAAAGTAAGTGGCGCACTTTTAAAAGTCAAAAATGCACTATTCTGTAAGAGTTCTGTTTAGTTGGCGCCAATTATAATACCGCTCAGTGGTAATAAAAGACACATTGTTGTAATGATAGATAGACTTCGTCAAATTATTTTAACGCGACTAATAACAAAGTTTAAAAGGCTACTTACAAATTATAAGTAGCAATGTAAATATTATGAAGTGTGTTTTAAATTGACTTCACAGATATGACACCACTTGAGTACCTAAATCGGTTTTGTGCCCTCAGAGACACACGAATACCATTCTACTCACGCATCTTCAATAAATTCAAGGATAATCGCACCCAGCTTATCTTCGTAGACGTAAGTTTGGCTTACAAGTTGGCTTTTTTCCACAATTCTGATCAGTGCCCACAAGCCAGTGAAAAACGATAAATTACGTTGATTAAAACAACTAATTGGTGACGAGAGACTACATTGAATTGTCAGTTGACATTGTTTTAAACGGATTTCAATGCGTCTCAAGTGTGGCCAAGATTTAACAGGATTTCTGATAATGTCGGTAGTTGAGTTAAACACGGTGTTTATATAAATCCGTTACCGTGGCTACTTGGAAAGGTCATTAGCGGCTTGTTTGGTAGTGATTTTGTTTAAACTCACACTATTTGTTTAAAATACCCAGAGACACAGTATGAATATAAATTTGTCCTAAATAAAAATCCTCCAAAACTTAACGGATCTCCGTCTTTCACTGCAGAAGTTGTTTGAACCTCTGAACGTCCTCATGAGCGGTTCGTTCAAACCAGAGCAGGGGGCGGAGATCGCGTCGCTGTTGGACCTTGCAGGCACCGACTACGGGCTGAATGTGGACGAATTCGCTTGCGTCTGCGGTCTTGCTGAGCGTCTCTACTACTGTCAAAACATGTGATTTCCGTGTGCCATATCAAGCCTTTTTTACTAGTGTAAAATGCAGTCAAGCGATAGCTCATACCAGGGAGAGCAACGTCATAGAAACCTTATCCATCGTCAAAATTCAGATAACTAAATAAAAAACAATAGCCAACGTATATCCCCCACCTAGATGTAACGACATCGATCGTTGAGCTAGCCCACATATTTATACTGACGATGATTTATTAGCAAGGAACACTCCTGAAAGCATTAAACTACTTTTAGGAGGATATACGGAGAGGAAGGCCTGGCAATGCAACAAGGAATCATTGAAAAGGCTGATTTTCATATGCTGCTTAAGAAAATGGACAGTGTTAAATTGACGAAGTCGCTGCAACGCCTTTTACAGCGCCTGGATCTCTTCAAATAGCATTCCGAAAATATCATGCTGCAAATTCATTTTGTCCGCGCTTTCAATCAATAAAATCAGCTCGCTTCTTCTTACTATAGTTTCTGCAATGAAGCGGGAAAAAAAGAGGAATATCAATTTTTTTCTTCAGATGCACTTTGGGCAATTCAAATAGACACATTGTAGAAAAGAGAGATATCAAGCCAATTGAATTTAACAAATTCAAATGACACTATTGTAGATGAGATGAAACAACGACGCCTCCCAAACCATAATATTATGCGTGTGGCTTAATTTTTAGATTGTTCAGAAAACATATTTAATATAAAAAATAGAGAACAGTGAACTTAATGCAGGTAACATTATCCATCGCTGGCAATAAAACTTGCGCCATCTCTCGCGAAAGAAATCTGCAGGATTCGAGGCAATCAAGTCACTATCGACTAATTTACGAACATAATTCAGCGTTTTACAAACTGCCTATCTACAAAGGCATGCTACTGATGCTGCACTGACCTCAACAAGTGGTGGTTGAATAAGGATATTTGGGTAAAATAATTGACAGGAGATAACACGTAGATCAAGTCAAGTTACAACAAGCAAGGAGAATTTTTTTGCTCACATGAACATGCATTTGAAAACAATACCAAAATAAAGAGGAAGATTAAGCAATAGTTAAGTGCGGTTTTCGAGTTTTTCAGTCCAAATCTCAAAAATTTTTTCATAGTTTTGAGAGAATTAGAGAGTTGGAGGTACAATTTAAGATGAATTTTGCTTTAGATAGTAAGAACACTGGTTCAACGAAGCTTATAATGCGAAATAAAAATTAGTAGACGAGTGTCAAATTTTGTTGTATTATGACAAAAGCTACTGAAAAGCAACTAAGTGCAAATAAAGAACCCCAAAATCAAGATCTGGTTGTAATTAATTTTACGAATAATTCATACTGCAAGACACATAAAATTACGGACCAAAATATCATCATATATCTTCGAGAATTACTTTGATCATTTACAACGTTGTCCTAAAAAAATTACTACTTAACTACGAATTCGAAATAACAAAATTTAAAACTATCGTTACATGGATAAAAATTCACTCTAAACACGGCAGACGATTATAAATAGTAATACCCACTCATTTCGTTGACAAAATTAGATGATTTTTTGCAAGTTGGAGAAGAATATACGTCAAAAATCAGAATATTTTACAAAAATATATTTTTTTTCCTACGGTAAGTTGCGTAAATAAGATAAAGCGGTCGCAATTGAAATTTTCTAGCTTTCTAGCACGTAATGTGTAGTTTTAAATACAAAAAAATTAAACAAACACTATCTTGATACGACGATTTCTTAGTGAGACCAGAAGAAGTTGTTTTAAATATCATTTCATTTGAGCACATTTATGTAATTTTTTGTCCACTTTAACTTGTGTGCGTACGGTGTCTGTATTTCGAACATTGTATTGCGTTATCTTCTTATCGTTCCTTCAATTCTTTGGGTAACGCGTTGCGAAAACTTCAGAGCGTCGGGTGTCTTCATTAAATTAACAGGTTTTACTTAACACGGGGTATCGATTCGTGGAAATGACGACACAGGGCCACCACAATGTATTAGCATGTTACCCATACGCGGCAAATCAGCTCCATAGACTTTTTGCAAGGTCTTAATGCGTGTTAGTGCGGCTTGTTTTTTTCTTTGCGATTGCGGATTTAAATCGCGTCATAGTCACGTCCTTGGAGATACTATGAATCTCGGTTACCGCGACAGTGATGCAGAATTTTGAAATGTGTCATAATCACCTGCCTTGTCCGCGGTCATCGAAAGCTCTATTGACTATCAAATCCCCGAAAGGTAGGACTGATACCGCCTTTTCGCGAGACATTTCCGTGGCATCGGTTGTTGCGTCCACTTCAAATTCTGAATTTCCCGTGTATGTGGGTCTTGCTCAGCGACTTGACGGCAATAATCGAAGTTACCAATGGAGAAGGTGATTGGGCCTCTCAATTCGCAGTTTCTTATTTAAGTGTGGACTTATCAAACCCTCTCTCTGTCGATCACATGGCATCTCAGGGCTACCTCATGTTACTAACCCGGAGAAATTTATATCCTGTCTTTCCACTGATTTTCCTAGTTTAAAAGCCATACCATTTTGTGCCCTCAAAGTATGTCTTTTGTCATATTTTTGCGGTGAAAACTCACAAAACAGCTATCAAACAACAGTTTTCAACGGCTTTTACTCTCTATTTGAATGCGCTGGCTGTTTTTATTCAGTCAAAGTGCAGGAATTACTTTTATTTGACAATTGCTTCATCAAGTGTCTTTTTATAAACTTAGATAGACAATTGTCGTGGCTTGAATCGATGCACCTGAATTCTTAATTCATATCTCTTGACATTGTATTTTTTGTGCCAAATACAGCTTAAAATTCACTATCCTTCGTTTGTGTTGTTGCCTCCGAATCTCTTAATTGAGACCTAACGCATGTATCCTGCATGGCTGTTCGCTTAACAACTGGCATGCCTAGGCGTAACAATTCAGCTTGCTCTCAACCTTCTTTGGGAACTGAATCGGTATCAAGTTGTGGCGTGGTTTTCAAGATGCATGGCCTATTCAAATTCCCGTAGGTAAAAACATCGGATGGACACTTATGAACGCACTTTATGTCGTTTTCATTGACGACGTGATTGGCAGTAGCATTTGCACCAGGTTACCAACTAGGTAAGCTCTGGATAACCATTAGTGGGATCACAACATTAGAATATCACAGGTTGTTGCAGGTAAATTGTTAAGGGATTTTGATGTCCGGGTGACTGTCGATCGTAACTTGAGACCTATTTAAGTTCTCGCTTTCAATCATGATACCTGCGTGTTTGCATTAGCCGCCAATAACTGGTGAGTTAAAACAATCGGAAGTCAGGCGTAATGAGGGTGGCTTGGTGTAGAATAGGTTGGGCTCCTTCAGTAGTATTGAAATTTTGACTTGGAAAAAAAGACGCTTTAGGTTGGACCGCTCGGGGTCTCACCTGCGAACAAGGAAGTGTTCACTAGAACATCACTCTGTTCATTTAGGGCTCTGTTTATCGACGGCAGACTATGCACTAATTAGTCGCCGAACCACGGAGAAGCTCAAAATGGACATTGTGAAAACAGGCAGCAGTCAGACGGCCTTTAAAACGTTCTGTCGACGCGTGGAGGCGTGCGTGTCACAATCAGGTGGAATGAGCAAGTGGCTTAGGGCATTCGGTCGCTTAAAAACGGATTTTGAGCGTGTCTGTCATCTACTGAGGGCCCTTGAGAAGACGACCCGCGGTAAGAGCACGGTGCTGGCGAGGTCTTAGCCCTTAGACGATTTAAAAAGCAACCCTACTATATGTTTCAGGGGATTGTAGTTTTGCCGCATTGGGGCTCCCGAACAAGGAAACGATTTCAAAATCAAACGCCAAGTCAGACAACGAATCAATCCGAATTCGAGAATTAGGCAACGAATGCTGGAAACTGCGCCAGTGTCAGGCCTCACTTGCGTACTTCACCGCTGCACTGTTCTACGCGTCGTCAGATCTTCAAAAGGCCCTCGCGCTGGGCAACAGATCCTGCGTGCTTCATCACCTTCAGTGCTTCCAGGAAGCTGCCCACGACGCAGTCTTAGCTCTTGAGGTACCTCTACGTTTTGCTAGTCTTTCAGCTGGGAGTTTGAGGTCGATTATTCGCTTTCGTAATCAGCAAATTATATAAGAAAACGCCGCATAGAACTGCTACGTTTGCCCGTAATAAAAAGAAAACCACTCAGATAACGGTACCAGATCCCTTGACGGCACTAGAACCGACCTTCCCAGGCTAATACCAGAACAAGACCAGAGCTCGAGTAGAGAGCTTTATTCACGTCAGCCACATGCAGAGAAGAATTGAAATCGAAAGTGATTCAGGTCAAGGTTGACCTTGACTTGATAAAAACGTAACAAAACAAATGTTAATAAATTAATGTAAATAGAATTAGAAACCAATCTTGGGGAATCGTGGATCCCCAACAAAAACTCAACGCTGGTATCATTTGAAAGCAGGAGCAGCTGAGACGTGAGTGTAAATGTATGCGTATGTGTCTGTTTCAGCTCGGGTTCCCAAAGGACAAGGCTCATCGCCTACACATCCGTGTCGGACAGTGTCTGCTGCGTTTAAATCATGTCGAAGACGCACGCCAACACTTTGAAAGAGCTCTTGACCAACTGACTTCAAGCGGTCCTTCGACGTCCAAGTTGCTGTCGCTTGCAAGGTCTGGACTGGTGGAATGTCAAGAAGGCTCCACGACAAGTGCCCCACCGCCCGCCTGGCAGTGTGTACGGGCTCCACAGCCAGTCCTAACAGCCGACGAAGACGAGAATGGAACACCAGAGATGTGTCATCTTGTCGCTGCTGCCAGCAACACTGTCCGCCTGAGGAATGCCGGATCAGAACGCGGTTGGACACTGGAATTGACCCGAGATGTCTCAGTTGGTAGGATGTTCCATGTTTTGTTTTCACAGCCACATCTCATCAGAAGATCGATTTGTGAAGCGTGTGGACTACGTGCTCGAATGAGACTGATCCATGCACCTGGCAGTAGTCGAAAGAACTTATGATGCTGTCCACGTTTTGTCCACCTGTTTACGTGTACATGTCTGTTGCAGCTCAGATTTTCAAAGGACACTTGCAAACTCGGAATTGGTACGATTTCAGCAGAATGAAATCAAATATCTCTGAGATCTGAGTGAGCCATAAAGCTTATAGACAGAATTCAGCCAAACTCACTGACTTTTTGATTGCCTCGTGAAGCCTACAACGCGTGATGTGCGCAATTAGTTGAAAACACGAATAAGGTGATTTGAAGTAGTGAAGTTTGAACATTCGGGGGTAGAGAAGGCACTAAAGGAATATTTGCGCCTATTGGCAACAGGTTCTGCGTCGCTTAAATCACGTTTGTAAGTACTATATGTGTGTGCGGCTGGGTGGAGACGAGCGCATTTGAATGCATTGCAGGGGACGTTCTGCTGGTGGACAGACCGTACGCGTCCAGACTAAATAAGGAGTGCTTTTTCACCCACTGCTACCACTGTTACACGCGGTGCCAAAATCTGCGACCTTGCACCGGCTGTTCCCAGGTAAATTCGTCCCCTCCAAATTCTTTCACAGCTTCACAGAAAAAAATCGACTTTCCACTACGCAGACAGATTGCCCAATCCACGAATTCCTGTCGATGGGAGTTGGTGATTGGCTGCTGACATTTGCTGTGGCAAAAATAGCAGCAAAGTAGTCTATCAACTATTTGTGCAGTCATATCACGAGGCCTGTTTTGTCACGTCTACAGTTGTCCGTTACAGTTGTTTGAGTGGGACAGTTGTGTGGGGTTCCCGCTAGCATCAGACCATAAGAGATACCAGTTGAACCTCGCATTCGCAACCCTCATCAATCCCTCTGATTCCTCAGAGTACGAAGTAAACTCGAAAAATGTAGATCTTTTGGTGTCTTGATTGCCCCTCACGTCGCGCAGACCAGCCGGACGTTAAGAACTGAAACAGGTTGAGGAGCAACCTCAGTGTTCCGCGTGTGTTTCCTCCGCAGGTGGGATTTTGCAGCGAGTCCTGTGCAGAGAAGGCCTGCTCGTCTCCATCGTCACCTGCTCATGGACTCGGACGACACTGCTATGAATGCGACAGCCTGCTTCCGTGTCTGCTGCTAGACAACTACGCCGGCTGGCCAAAGTCCTCGAGTGAATCGATTGGCGGCACAGACGTCGCTCATCTGGCCTTCGCCTGCGTCGCTGACACCGACTCAAACAGCCTGCTGGACTTTGTCTGCAGAACCGGAAGGTACCAGGTAATCGGTTTGTTCTACTGGAACTGGAACAAAATGGCACATTTTCACCTTGGACAGTTCAGTTGATATATACCACTTTAATCATCCACCAAACTACGTTTTTTCGTGTGTATGAAATGATTTCCATTCGTATAGTTATGTCAAGGCGCTTTTTACGTACTGCGTTTGCGAGTATCCCAAAAACTAGACTTAAATCCGGTAACAATTGTTGGAAATAGAGCGGGCTTTTGGTCTTGATCGCAGCTGGTTCTTGCCACCAGTGAACCAATCAATATTCGTGACACCTAGTGACCTTCAGGATTGTGCTAATGTAGTATGAATAAGACTGGTTCAACAGGTAAGGCTTTATTGACCAATTACAAGCCAGAGCCACACGTCAGGCGCTGTCTATCCGAGTTGACCACGCTAGCCAAGCCGCTCATTATATACTGCACCTCAGTCGTGTCTTTCTCTGGTTGGCTGCCTATCTTCCTCGCATGCCATTGGATCGCAGAGCGACAATGGGTTGTCTGGGGCCAGGGTGGTCCAATGTGTTTGCGCTCTCAGACCTCGCTACACTAACGTTCCTAGGGTGATATTTCATGCTCTAAATTGCGTTTTTTAGGACACATCAGGTCACCAGGCCTTCGTTGGCGCTGTCGCTCGCGCGACTCCTCCTGCGGTGTTCGATCCGGGTGATTATGCGTCAGCAGCTTGGCTCGTGGCAAACACCGAGCACAGAAGTCCAGCCGACCTCTGGCAGCGCACGGTGGCTGCCGTCTTCTTGACCTACTGCCTTTCGGTAAAGGCCTGTCTATTTCTGGTTGTTTCACCCCCATGAAACGCGTCGCCCGAAACTCCGTTTGCCAAGGCCGCTTCAAACACACCTAATCACCAGCGTTAGAGGCTGCCGAGTTAACTTCGTAGAGCAATCTTGAAAGTCAATTAGAAAATTGGTTTCGAAATGGCTGTGTTTGGATGAGAAGTCGTTGCGAGCTGCACGCGATTTCGACACCTGTAGTGACCTCTCCCGTGAGGTAAACGCAAAGGTCATTTTTGAATTAAGTCAATGGCTGATGCACAGGTAAGGTTTAAGGGGGGGTCAGCAGCAAGTTATTTCAGGGTATCTGGCCTGATGCACTAATCTGGTGAATCCGAGACGCAGTATCACACGTAGGATGTACATTTTATAGATTGGCGGATATCCCCTGACGTGGTTTGAGGATTGTGGTCTTGTCTGCGACGCACCTTCACCACAGAATCGCCGTCCAGATCGTCTGCCTGCGAGTTGGGCAGCCGCCTGTCTGCTCTACCACCTCCAGTCAGTTCCGAGCAACGCTCACTCCTACGCCGAAACCCTCTTCCCCAGTCACGATGATCTGCGATGCGCTGAGGTGCGGGCGCTCGCTTCCTGCCTGTACCCGAGTCTGTCCCTAGTCAACCACTCCTGTGACCCCGTGGTGGTGCGCAACTGCGCCGCCAACGCAACCTGTTCTCTGACGGCTCTTCGTCCGCTCGCAGCGGGATCCGAACTGCTCGACTGCTACTGCGCGCACTACGCTCTTCAGTGTCGAGCTGAGAGGCAGGCAGCTATCGCCTCGCAGTACTGCTTCGTGTGTGCGTGCGACGCCTGCACCCACAACTGGCCGGGTCTCTCTGCGGAACCCCTACCCGGCACGAGGATCTTCCTCAAGTGTCCGAGATGTTCGAAACGCTTCTCACTGGCTGAAGCCAAGTGCACAAATTGTGGTGACAACGCGGGCAGGAAGCGCTACACCGAGCTGGTGGAGGTTGAACTGCCAAGAAGGCTCGAGATGTCACTGTCTGGCCACGTGACGGGCAATAGTCTCGCGTGGTCGAGGACGTTGTTAGAGGAGCTAGCGGAATTGTTGTCACGACCGGCGCCAGCTTGGGACATGGGACAGGAGCTGTACAAGATACTGCTGACGCTTGCAGACGGCAATTGGTGCATGGAACCAACCACGCCTTAGCTGTATTTTGATGTTTTCATGTGTTCTGCAATGTACTTGGCAAAGCTTGTTCCAGAGAATGTGTAGTTGGCTATTTTCGGAATTTCTGAATCACGCCGCTCGTGTTGATGATGGCAATGTACATGGGGTTTTTATTAGCGATTTTACTGATTAAATCTGCAGCATTTTGTTTAGAGTCAAAGTTTGTTAAAGGTTTACTGCAGCAATTCAAGGAAGCAGCAGTTTACGATTGTAGAATCGTAATGGATCCGACGTTCCACATTGAAACGGTCTGACCTGGAATGCGGAAGTAGCTCGTAGACGTTGACGGGGTGATCAACTGACTCACTGCCACCGCGAGGACGTGGTTGTACAGGATGATATGTTGACAGTTCATTCAGGTTCGCTTAACATCGATCTGTAAACGAGCATCGCTGCGTGAGGCGCACTCAAGCGAATCGATTGAATTGTGCTCCAACTGTGCTCGCTCACTACTAGCCACACGATCAATACTTTTACGGCCCTTAAACACCCAAAATAATCAAATCGAGATTTTATTGTCGGAAAAGACGATATCTGTGTTAAAAGATGAAAAATCGGAGGAAAATTTCAACACGGTGTAACCCCTAGAATGAATCTTTCAAGCAGGTCGCAGTAGAGCCTCCTGAGTTAGGTGACCACTGACCTCATTGTTTAGGGCTAAATTTATTAAAATCATTACCAGCAAAAAATGACATATTGCTCGCAGTCGGTTACGACTTTCTAACACTACATCACCATTTTTATGCGTGTTAAATCACATGCCACGCATTTGGGTTTTAATCTATTAAATATGGTGAAAGTCAGTGGTAGCAAGGTCGAGAGTGAGTGGACGATGTGTCAGAGCTACTCAAATGCGATCCACGACGACCATCTTGATGAATTTTATAGTCGTGCATTGTCATGCCGCAGAATCACTTGCCACACCTGGCAAGTCACTTCCACTGAATTGTCTCATTCAAACAGCGTTTAATAGACGGGTTAGGTGCACCGGTCGTGTGCGAGGATTGTCTGGTAGTTAAATCGCTTACATTTACGCCACGCATATATAATTGTCCTTCGAAGACGGAGATCCTGCTTAACCAGTGGCGTTGTTTTTTGGCGTTCGAACCTTGGTTGGTGACCATAGGTGGGGAAGAGCATTCTTCAGGTGGCATTTCATCCCCTCAGACAACTTCAACCATGCGACTTAGGCCCAATTTTCCTTCAAAATTGCATTGACTTGATCCAATTAGAAGTCATTTCGACGATCCAGATCTGATGCCACCTTGATATTAAGCTAGATCTCAATCGGGTGCCCATCCTTCAATGTTTTCTTTGCACGGATTTGGCACGCCAACTTGTCGAAAATGCACATTTGGTTAACTAAACACTTGAAACGAGAGCTCAGCTAGTTTTCTCGGAGCTGATGACAAGATTTGGAGGCAGGGATGGACATTGTAGAAGCCTTGGAGTGGTCCTAAGCTCTCCTGCGCCGACGACCTATGTGGACACGCAATCATCAGGACAGCTTCGGCCTTGACCGATTTATTGCTACAACTAATCAAGGAACGCTTGTCAATCAACTTCTACGTGGACACCACTACGTGAAGTGGCTTCAAGATAATCGGTCGAATTTCAGCTTTCGTTCATGCCTTGTAAGCGGATTTGTGAACGATATTGAATGGACATAGAGGTTGCCGACAGCTGTCTCACTTGCTGGATGTAAACGAAGGACATTTCCTTACACTTTGATAACTGTGATGCACTTTTTTATCCTAGTATTAGTTCTGATAGCTGAAATAGTTTATACATGTTGTCGAGGCTCAGTTCGTTGATCGGCTTCGAATAGCAAAGAAAGTCAGTGTAAAATGTGTCAAATTTCATCTTCATGTCATCCTTCTACTGGTGAGACAGTTTACCTAATGTGGCTAGATCATAAAATTCACACTGATAACTGTGACTGGGCCTTAGTTTAGAATCACCTCCACTTGCTCTTCATTTGGCACCGGGCGCTGCAGTCGTGAAATGCTCCATTAAGCAAAACAATACTGAAAATGCACAAAGAACTCTTCTCATCACCACAGAGACGTGCAATTTCGTGTTGGTTTGATTTGGACAAAATACTGCAGCGACAGCCTTAACAAATGCACACCTTGTAAGATTTCGCAAATGTTAAATAGAGTTTTGCGATTGTTTTATCCCGCAAAAGATAGTCACTGTTAACGCATCAAGTGAAAACAGCTTTTGATGCTATATAAAGCAAGAGTGGTAATCAAGCCTATGCTTAGTGTAAGCCATACCATTCGCGTTGCATTCTAGTACTTTCGTGTTAACGCACAAAATCACCACGACGTCGTACATCGGTTTTTTGCTAACACGACTGAGTCAAGAGACGTGAACCAATGGGTGGATGGATGGATGTCACTCGACCACTAATAATAACGCACAAAATCTATTGGACAACTCGTTAGCCAATCAGGGCGCGTATGAAGCGTGAGTCTTTAAAAGGGCTATTGCATAGATCATGGATATGGACGAGAAAAAATGAGCGTTTGCAGTGGCAGCGCGCCCTCAGGTAAGAGGCAGGTTCTCTTCGCCGTTGACAGCTCAGAAAACGCCAAGTTTGCATTCCAGTGGTACCTGAAATGGTGCAGTCGTCCAGACGACACGGTTCTATTTTTCCACGTGATTGAACCACCTACCCTCCCCTCTGTGAACCTCCACCACCCGATCTCATTCCCGATCGAGGAGTGGGTCAAAATCGTGGCCAAGGCTCTTGAGTCAGTCAAGCAACTGGAAGAAGACTACATGTCTGAGGGCATGGCCGCGTCGTTGAATTGTGAATTCGTGAGCGAACAAGCCGATAAAGTCGGCCCGGCTATAGTAAAACAGGCGGAGAAAGTGGGTGCGCATCTCATTGTCATGGGCACACGGGGACTTGGAGTTAATCGAAGGACTCTGTTGGGCAGCGTCAGCTTCTACGTCCTCCACGAATCCTCAATCCCCGTCACCGTGGTGCCAAAGGTGTGAGATTCCGTCTTTGGTAATATCCATGCATTGCTCTATGCAAATTCGTCCCACTGAGATTACGTACACTGTATTAATTGATGCTATTTTTACAAAAACAAGCTCGTCTCAGGTACAAATTGCACTGTCATTTAATTTTCTGTACATTGGATAAGTAAAGGCCTCTCATATGATTGCGTTTTGACACAAATAAGTGGGAAAACATATGCCTAATGTTGAAGGCCCTTCCCATTCCTGGAAACCTCGCAAATATCTGCCAAGGTGTGGCGATAAACTATCTCCAGTGATAGATGATGTGGTAGGCGGTCCCATCACTTCTTACAGAAACATTTTGGGTGGAAGCAACACAGCCGCGCAACTGGTGTGGTAACGTCAATTCCAATCGTTAGCGTAAGCCCTGTTAACCACAAGCACAATGTGCATTCTGCGCAAACCGTATATAATCTACTCTCTTCGCTTCGTATAGTAGTAGTAGTAGCACGAATGGGTGCAGGCGATCGGATTCCCAATTTCCATAAATCGCTCCTGCCCATCTGTCAGTCTGCTTGAAAGACTATAACTGTGAATGGCGTCTTGCAGTGAATCGGTGCCTCAGCTAGACCTAAGCAACTGTCGGTGAATTACTAAAAGGCCAGTTAAGCCAAGCAACTGGTAGCGTAATCGACAGGCTCTTGATTAAACCGCGTGCTGCTGATAAAAAACACCCGAAAGCACTAACGAATGCGCGCCAAATTGGTGAGGAGTGGTTGTCTGGTGACATGCCTTTGCTGGGATGCGAATAGCAAGCAGTCACAAAGAAGAGTGTGCTTGTGGTTTTGTAGTTTGGCCGAGCACTTAGTAGTGTGGTGAGTCGCGTAGTATGGGGCTGGCAATTGATGCCCTAGACCAGGCAGCTTGCAAGATCAAGTGTTCTAATTGCAAACGACCGTCCACTTTGTCCATACATCTATCTCCCCATGTGCCGAGTTACATACTTTGGGAGAGTTATAAACGCAAAAGGCTAGCCCATCGGATGTTCTTACTGATTTTTTCTTTCAAAATAGGGGTACGGAATGCAAATGCGCTCATACCTGTGAAGGCGACTTGGAAGGTTCTTCACGCCAACGGATTTAAATTGCAGAATAATCACCAGGACAGGGATGCAGATAGAGCACCAGTTTACGGAAGCAATGCAGGTAACTCGTGACGGGTAATAATTAACTAAATTAGTTTCAGGGTGTTGGCCATTTTTGCATTGATTTTAGTGGTTATTTGGTCGTGCATACTGAACGTTGATACATGAACGCCAGAACCTCGTTTATTCGCAAATTATATCGATTTACTTTTGTCATGGCAACAAATCCTGTCCAGCGACCAATCGCGTAGGTAGAAGGTGACCACACATCAAAGAGTTAAACTTGTTCACTTTAGGTCATTTTAAACAGGTAATCTATCATATGTAGAGCTAAAGATGAGTTGTTATCACTTCGGGATTGCAGATTTTGAAATGTGCTACCAGCGATCGCCTAGTCACCGGTCATCGACAGCTTTGCCACTTGTTAAACCCCCGAAAGGGAAGACCAGTAATAGATTTTTTGAGAAAAAATCCCGAGGCATTATCTGTTGCATTGAACCTAAATTCTGACTTTTATGTGGACGTGGATCGTCCACAAAGTCTTGACGACAAGAACCCAAAGTCACCAATGAGGAAGGTGATTAGGTCTTCTAGTGCGCAGTTTCGCATTTGAGTGATGAATAATGCTACCGTACACACACCAGCTCCAAGTCGCTTTAAATTACTAACTCGGAGAGATCTATATCCTGTCCTTCAATAGATTTTCCTGATTTAATAGTTGAGCCATTTTGTACTCTCAAGAAGAGTATTCTGTTATGCTTCTGTAGTGAAAATGCGCACAACAGCTATTTAGCAACCAATCATCATGCTCTAGTTGTTTTTATTCGGTCGTCTTACACAGCTTATTGTTATTGACAAATGCGTTCTCCATCACGTTACTTTTTATACATATTTAAAAAGCCGATTGCCGTGGATTATATAGAAACACTTTGGTAAACGTGGGAATCGGACTCTTAATTAAAGCCTCCTTATCCTTCGTTTGTGTTGTTTTTGTCTCCAACCGCTTAATCCAGCCCGAGCACATGTCCTTCGCATTGCTGTTTGCTTAACAGGCATAGCGGTTCAACTTACTCTCAGATGCCTTGGGAACTGATCCGGTGTTTATTTGTAAAGTAGTCTTCTGATGTAGTATGCAGAAGTTGGTCTGTTAACATAATTCCCTTTTTTGCAATAAAAGCCGTCAGAGAGGTAAATGTGTGTTGTGGTGTGGTGTGGCGTCAGATCAGGGCGCACACATGTTGGACCACCTGGCCGCAGACAATCCTGTGTCTCTTTGTGTTCCAATGGCATGCGAGGAAGATAAGCAGCCAACCAGAGAAGGGCACGACTGATGTGCAGTATATAATGAGCGGCGTGGCCAGTGTGGCGGACTCGGATGGAAGGTGCCTGACGTGTGGCTCTGGCTTCTGATTGGTCAGTAAAGCCTGTTCTGTTGTACCAGTCTTTTACCTATTAAGGCTCGGGTATTCTACAGTGGCGACGGATTAGGGTGCAGACATATTGAACCGCCTGGCTTCAGCCAATCCTGTGTCTCTCTGTGTTCCAATGGCGTGCGAGGAAGATAAGCAGCCAACCAGAGAAGGGCACGACTGATGTGCAGTATATAATGAGCGGCGTGGCCAGTGTGGCGGACTCGGATGGAAGGCGCCTGACGTGTGGCTTTGGCTTCTGATTGGTCAATAAAGCGTGTTCTGTTGTACCGATCTTTTTCCTATTAGGGCTCGGGTATTCTACAGTGGCGACGGCTGAGGGCGCAGACATATTGGACTACCCTGGTCTCAGCCAATCCTGCGATTCAGTGGCATGCAGGAAAGGAAGGCAGCCAACCAGAGAAGGACACGAATGAGGTGCAGTACGTAATGAGCGACGTGGCCAGCATGGTGGACTCCGATGGAGGGCGTCCGACGTGTGGTTGTGGCTTGTGATTGGTCAATAAAGCCTGTTCTGTTGTACCAGTCTTCTTCCTATTAGGTCTCGGGTATTCTACAGTAGCTGCATTGTGCATAACGCCACAAGCTATATTAAGCCTATAGGCTCTGTTTTGATTGGTACTTTGTGCCGTTTGCACTGACGACGTGATTGGTTAGGCATTGGCAGTAGCTTAGCCACCAAGTAAGCTGTGAAATTCTTCCAAGGGGGTCACAGCGATTGACTAAAATTGCATTCAATGGTTTCAAAGGAATCTGGTGCTACACAACTGACAGAGCTTAAAGCGGAATGAGGATGGCTTGGTGTAGAATATATCAGGCTCCTTCAGTAGTATTGAAATTTTGACTTGGAAAAAAAGACGCCTTAGATTCGACCGCTCCGGCTCTCAAATGCAAACAAGAAAGTTTTCACTAGAACATCACTCTGTTCATTTAGGGCTCTGTTTATCGACGGCAGACTATGCACTAATTAGTCGCCGAACCACGG